CCCCCCCCCCCCCCGCTTTTGCACAGGTATTTATTTATCAAAAATAAATTAACAGGGGCGCCTGGGTGGCGCAGTCGGTTAAGCGTCCGACTTCAGCCAGGTCACGATCTCGCGGTCCGTGAGTTCGAGCCCCGCGTCGGGCTCTGGGCTGATGGCTCAGAGCCTGGAGCCTGTTTCCGATTCTGTGTCTCCCTCTCTCTCTGTCCCTCCCCCGTTCATGCTCTGTCTCTCTCTGTCCCAAAAATAAATAAATAAATAAATGTTGAAAAAAAAATTAAAAAAAAAATAAATTAACATTAAAAAACCGACATAGCTATTTGCTATTAACTTAAGTTGATCTCTTTCAAGGCATGCGTGTCTAGACCCATTACAATTTATCTGGCTATAGCAAGCCTGCTCCCTCTATCTCTTTTTGTAACATTCCCTTTGTTGTTGATGGGACTGGTATATTTAGCAGCAGAATCATTGTAGCCACTACTGCTGGGGGAGGACAGAGTTCTGAGATGTTAACTGCCATGTTTTTCTACCAAGGAATGCAGGATGGAAAGTAGAAGAAAGAAACTGGATTCTGAGGGTGCCTGGTGGCTCAGTTGGGTAAGCACATGACTCTTGGTTTCAGCTCACGTCAGGCATGATCTCACCGTTCATGGGTTTGAGTCCCATATCAGGCTCTGCAGTGACAGCACAAAGCCTACTTGGGATTCACTCTCCCTCTCTCTCTGTACCCCCCCTTTCACTGTCTCTCAAGATGAATAAACTTTAAAAAAAGTTTAGAAACTGGATTCTTAGGCAAAAGACCTGAGCTCTTGACCTGGTCTACCTTTTACTGTAACTATGAAGCCTTAGACAAATGACAGCCTACTAGCTCTCTCATCTGGAGAATGAGTGTAATAATATCGAACGATGTAAAAATCTAACCAATGTATTTAAGGTTGAGAAAAATGTCACCTTGGATTAGGGTCATTACTTCAACAGCTCACGGGGAACCAGCAACTGATCCTGTGTTTCAACTGGCGATCTGAAAGGGGTTATGACCACTAGGTGGGTCAACAAGCTGCTGAACCAAGGGTGATCCAGTTTCTTGGTCTATGGACAAACACTGTGCTTGGACAGGCCTTGCCTTAAAAGATAAGGAAAAAACGGAGCACCTAGGTGGCTCAGTCGGTTGAGTGTCTAACTTCGGCTCAGGTCATGGTCTCGTGATTTGTGAGTTTGAGCCCCACATCAGACACGTGTTGCAGTCCCCAAAGAGCCTGCTTCAGATCCTCTGTCCCCCTCTCTCTGCCCCTCCCCTGTTCCCTCTTCCTCTCTCTCTCTCCCCCCACCTCAAAAATAAATAAACATTAAAAAAAAAAAAAAGATGAGGAAAAAAAAACAACAAAAAGAAGCCCATGAATGTCACTCTGGACCCTGGGAATTGAATCCAGAGGACTTAGAGGAACATATACCTCTGAAAATTATCAACAGCAAAATCCAGAAAAATATTTCACAAAGCTGGTTAACATCCTTAATATAAACAGAAAGTCTTAAAAATAAACCAAGTGAAGCTAACATGCACAAGAATGAGATAAATTAAAGGAGAAATAAATGATACTGGAGGATTTCGAGAGAGCTAAAATGCTTCAGAAAAGTTAAAATTCACACTGGTAATACAGAACCGACTTGGAAAAATCAAAACAGTGAGACGGAGGAAAAAAGTGAGGAGTTCGCCCTGAACGCAACAGAGCAAAGCATACAAAACCATTCTTTTCATTTAAAAGAATGACAGGAAAGATATGGAGGACAGAAACGTGCAATTTAGCACATGGATAACTGTTTTTTTGTTTTTGAGATAAAGAGAAAGAGAGTGTGTATATGTACACATGCACGCAGGGGAGGGGCAGAGGGAAAGAGACAGAATCTTTTTTTTTAAGTTTATTTATTTGAGGGGGGGGGGAGAGAGAGAGGGAGAGAAAAAATCCCAAGCAGGCTCTGCACTGTCAATACAGAGTGCACTGTGGGGCTCAAACCCACAAATTGTGAGTTGGAAGTCGGATGCTTTAACCGACTGAGCCACCCAGGCACCCTGAGAGAGAGAATCTTAAGCAGTCTCCATGCTCAGTGTGGAGCCTGATGAGGGGATTGATGCCATGAACCTGGGATCATGACCTGATCCTAAGTCAAGGGTCTGATGCTCAACTAACTGAGCCACCCAGGTGCCCCGATAACTAGTATTTCTTAAGGACAAAATCAGAACTAATGAAACAGAAGTGACAAATAGGTGGCAGCGAATAAAATTTTTACAAGCCAAGAACAATGTGTATATAGAACATCACATTCTAGACAAAATCAGTGAAAAGTGACCTAGATGCATGCTAAGAGAATTTCTGTATTACACAGATTAAAACATTTTACAATCTAAGATGAAAAAAGGCTACCTGTTATTTAAAAAAAAAAAAAAGGCTAACTGTAGTCTTTTCCACTATAGCATTAAATGACAAAACACAAGGGAATGATGTGTACAGAGTTTTGAGGGGAAGACTGAGGAAGGAAATGTTACTTATAGTGCAGAGACTATTGATTATTCCACCACCGTGCCTTCCTTCCAGGGAAACATAGTAGCTCCATGAAGGACTACATTTCCCAGCCTTCCTTGCTTGCAGCAGTATGGCCATGTGATCAGGTTCCGGCCAATGGGATATAAGAAGTAATTGGTGCAATTTCTAGACTGTGCCCTTAAAGAAAATGATCAGGCTTCCCACTTTCCCTTCTCCCCTTCCCACTTGATAGAATGTGAACATGAGGCAGGAGCTAACACAGCTTTTATAGACCACGATATTCAATTACAAGTTGACAGCAGAACAAGGCAGAAAGAGCTTGGGCCCTATAAACTGTGGTGCCATCTTATCAGCCCTGGACTGCTTACTTACACTGTTATGTAAGTGAAGAGAGAAATCAACTTCCACTTTGTTCAAGCTACCATTTTGACTTCTGTTAGAGCACCTGACCCTGTTTTAACTTGTAAACCCTGCTAAAATATGGCTTATTGGGAAGGGACAAGAAATGACTTTTTGACTATTCATGAGTTCCCAAAATATTTCCACCAGTGGATCTTGTGAAAACAACTAGAACAGAGATGATACAAAATTAAGATTTCAAGATGGATAAAGTTATGGTATAAAATGATTGGACATAAACATCTCCAGTTAAAATTGATATAAGTTCTAAATTGTTAGAAACCTTGCTTTGCTAAAAGTTTTTAAAAAGTATTCTTGGGGTGGGGCACCTGGGTGGCTTAGTTGGTTAAGTGTTTTACTTTGGCTCAGGTCGTGATCTCGTGGTTCGTGGGTTCAAGGCCCGAGTTGGACTCTGTGCGGACAGCTCTGAGCCTGGAGCCTGCTTCAGATTCTGCGTCTCCCTCTCTCTGTGCCCCTCCCTCACTCACGCTCTGTCTCTCTCTCTGTCAAAAGTAAATAAACATTAAAAAAAATTTTTTAAAGGTATTCTTGGGGTGTCTGTCTGGCTCAGTTGCTAGAGCATGTGACTCTTGATCTTGTGGTTGTAAGTTGCAGCCCCACATTGGGTGTAGAGACTACTTAAAAAAATATTCTTAAAAAAATTTTTTTAATATATATATATATACATATTATTATTATTATTATTATTTTTCTTTGAGAGAGAGAGACACAGAGTGTGAATCAGGGAGGGGCAGAGACAGGGAGGCACAGAAACTGAAGCAGGCTCCAGGCTCTGAGCTGTCTGCGCAGGGGCAGACATGGGGCTGGAATCCACCAACTGTGAGATCATGACCTGAGCTAAAGTCGAATGCTTAACCGACTGAGCTATCCAGGAGCCCCAAAAAGATATTCTTAATCTTAATACAGATTTTAAAAACCCAATGTAACAATAACCTGAATAAAACCTACAGACTATACTAACAAAATCTAGGAATAGAGGGTGGGGAAGGAAAAACTAACATGTGCTATATTCCTTTAACCACATGAGGGGGCTTCTAAAGAGACTTTCATTCCTGAGCCCAGCAATTAGGCAAACACAGGTGAAGGAATGTGTTTTCAAAAAGAACAACTCCTTGAAGGTAAACAATTAAAACGAGAGTCCTGAAGAACAAAAGTCCAACAAAGACAGAAGAAAATAGCAAGGAAGCATTAGAACCAGATAGCACATAAGAAATGACAGATTATTAAAATAAACTTAAATGTGATAAACTGTACTATAAAAATACTTTCAGAGTCATTAGACTCATTTACATGAAATTTAATAGGAACACATGTAAAAAAAAAAAGTGACACAAAAATTTCAAAGGACCCTGAGAGGCATCTGGCTGGCTCAGTCGGTAGAGCATGTGACTCTTGATCTCAGGTTTTGAGTTTGAGCCCATG